ATTGGACAGAGAGGACCACAGATGGTGGGGCTTAATATTTTTTCCTCCCAAAGAATCATCGTCCTCAGTCCAGTTTCAGAATTTCCTTTAGTACAAACGTTACAGGTGGTTAGCCACATCTTTAATTCCCTGGCTTTCTTGGGACTGTAAGGTACGCTGAAAATAGCATTTTTCCCCATGATGTACCCAATTCTCCCAATTATCTTAAAATCCTGGGCAATGTTTCTCAACTAGTTACTATGCACTGAATTCCCACATTGGAACAAGGGATATTTAAGTTAGATAGTTGGTATGTTCAAATAATGAACAGTGGTACAGAGGATCAAAGATGTGGGCAAAAAATTGTGTAATTGCAGCTCAGAGGCTGTCTTGTATCACTTCCTCCTAGAGCAATTATCCAGCAAAAGCAGGCGGCTTCATGGCTTCATCAACGTTGATAGGTTCAAGATTTTGCTGAAAAGAGCTTGACTGCCCAAAGGAAAGTGATAGTGGAACAGGTACACATTACAACTTCTCTCATTCCTAGAGGAGAAAAAAGAATATTTGTCTATAAAGATGCCCTCCCTTTTCAATTGTTAGACTTTCCTGATCATTCTTAGGGAACTAGATTTCTAAACTACATTTTGAAGAATCCGTACAGTGGGGAAAAAGGTTCAGAATCTAAACCTGGATTTATTAAGTCTGTGGATGTGAACATTTTCATGAAAGAACTGAGGAAAACTGATAATAGAACTTTTTGGAACTACCTCTTATGTTTCAAAAGTTCCTCCATAAAAACTGGCTAAAGACAAAAGACACAGAATTTCTTTATCTTTGTCTCTTAACTAATGGCTACTGTGGGACTTGCACTGCTGTAAAGTACTTTAAGAACAAAATTGGAAATCACTAAGTCGGTGATTGTTGATTGTCCTATACTACTGCTCCCTTTATTTTATGTACATTAGAATTTCACTCCTTTCCTTGAGCAGCAATCGCACAAAATGGTCTTCTTTCCTCCTTAAGACTAATTATTGATTTGGAGAGAGAATGGTAGAGTTTTAAATGAAGATGCTCCTGTAGGAGATGACCAGGCTGAGCCTGAGGGAGGTGTCAAGCACATCATCAATTTAGAATCCCACAAGAGATCTAAGTCCAGCCCATCTTGAATTTTGTTGACTCTTATCTACCGCCAATTTGCTTTCACCGTTAGTAGTTCAGATTCATGTGGAAAGTGTTAATGTGCATTAAACCTGTATTCATTTGAACCGCCTTGGCTCCTGATTTCATGTGTGTGACAGTTCCACCTGTTTTATGTTAGATGCATATTTGAAATTTTGAAAAGGTATTGTGGGTGCTGTTGTAAAATGGCTGCACTGTGGGAGAACCCCATTCATGGTAATCATAATGATTTTTAAAAATTCAAAAAAGGCAAAATAATGATTCTTCAAATCCTGAATAAAATGTCCATATGATGTCAGAAGTTTATAAGGCAAGTCCTGAATTCACAATTTTTGAATCCAATAAAACTCCAATAATCTACTTTATCTTACCAGTTCAGTGACCTTGAATCCTGAAAAACTAAGCAGGGAGAGACCTACTTAGTTCTCGGACAGGAAACTACCAAAACCTCTCTGGGTTTTTTTTCTTTTACTCCAAGCATACAGCACAATTTCATTAAAATAGTTTATGCTATCTCTTTAACAAATACTCTTCCCATGTTGCCATGCATCTTCAAAGTACACATTCCCTACAAGTACTTTTTGCTTTGCCTTTACTTTCCTCCTATTCCCAATTGATCTCCACCCTATCCCTAAATCTTCTTCCTGTGGCCTGGCCATCTGCAACCTGAATCCATCATTCTTTTTTAAGGCCTTCAGAATCTCCTGTCCATGATTGCCAAAAATTAGCAGTATGGTTTCTCACAATTTTGGTTAATAACAAAAGTATACTGTACATCGTGAAACAGGCTTATTTTAAAATAAAAGTTAAGTACTATGAAACCCAGAAAAAAATGGAAAATCCCAATTCCACCTATGTGTGTCTTCCCTTATTTTGCATCATGTTTGTTTATTTATTTTGTATCTTGCCTTTATTATTTTTACAAATAAGATGGTGAACATATCCAATATGCCTTCCTTCTCCTATTTTCCCCACAACCACCCTGTGAAATGGGTTCCATCCAATGTGGCTCTTAGCCCAGCCAAAAATGTTACTCATCCACAATGTGAAGTCCTAGCTAATAAAGCTTAAGGATACTAAAGAGATGGTAATTTGCAATTTTTCTTGACTAGTTGCTTAGATAAGGTAAATTGTCAAAAGAAAACTATGGAGGCAGGTTCATATCTGCTTGTCACTGCCTCTTATCTCCATTACTGAGATCCTCTACCGGATTTAAAAAAAAACTGCCCTAGGGAATGATGAATGGAACCCCACTTTTTATATCCAATTATACACATTCGTGGAATAATCTATAATCTGTAAATTAGGAACTCTTACTCATTTTTCCTTGAAGTCATAAGTTTCTCCTAACTTTGGTAATATATAACTTCTGTCAAGTTGAATGTCAAATAAAAGGAAGCAAATTCCCCATAGTATTAAAATCACTCTGAAAGAAAACAATTAAAACCCCTGTAATAGTGATCTGCCTTTCTTTTCCAACATTCCTGTGGGGAAGAAAAAAGAAGAGTTCCAAAGTTGAGAAAGGATTTTTTAAAAGGAGAAAGAGCATTTCTAGCCCTGTCCTATAAAGGGGTTGGATTTTTCTGGTTTTCAAGGGGTATGTTATATTTAATAAGTGGTTCAACTTCTACATGTGTTTATTCTTTAAACACATTTATTGAGGAGTAAACCTCACTGATTTTATTGGGGCTTGTATCTAAAGGCACATGTTTTGGTTTGTAACTTTAATAAAGCTTTATGTAATAACCTTGAAACTCTTTAGAACTAAGTGACATAATTCAGTTTATTAATATAACAGGATAAGTGTTCTAGGTTCCAGTGCCATGTGTCCACTATCATATTCTTGTTATTACCATCTGTGCTATGCCTTTCATACACACATCCGATTTTAATTCAGATGTGTACATTTATTTACAGTCCATTTTCTTCTTATTCTCTGTAATTTTCCAAACTTCTCCTTTTCCCCATCTTTTCTGAAGGCATTTTTGCTTCAATCTCAAATTATAAGAGTGGTGGTGCTCCTGATTACTGATCATCATGTTTTGGACAAAGAATAAATGCGCTGTCGTAATTTTTACTCAGTGGAAGTTTGTGGCTGAGAATAATTTGAAGGCATTTTTATTTTGAAAGAAGAATTTTTGGGTAAAACAGAAAATATTATGTTAAAAGTAACCTAATATCCCAGATATATATTTTCTGAAGATATATTTTCTTCAGTCTCATGATTTTATTACTATAAATAACTGGCTGATGGAAGCAAGCTGTTTTGCTCAAATGTAAACATACTTTTTGGAGAATATTCAAGTTTATGTTATATTCAAGTTTACATTATTTCAGTACTGTCCAGTTTTTAAAAGAGAAATGTATAGTACTATAATAAGCAGAAACTGGGGGAATATATCTTAACTAGAATACAAAGTAGGGAAACCTATGAAAGGATAACTATAGACTTTTATCTTCAAGGTGTTGTGGGATTAAAATAATGTATAGGGGAAAAAACATGCTCATTTAGGTTTCATGCAATAAAAACAGTTTTTGCCCTAAAGAAGAATTATCCTGTATACAATGTTGTGATAATAATAAATTGTTGGCTTAGCTTCAAGTGCAAATCCAAATAGAAAAGGAGACAGCCAAATTCCCATTTTTTTATTTGTAAAAATTTAGTGAAGGCTCAACTTTGTAATACTTTCAGTAACCCCATGCACTCAGTATTACTAATCCCGTATTGCTTTTTTGGGAACTGAGCCTGAAAGATAATTTCTTTGCCTAACAGTTTTGTCATCAGTTTTCAGAAAACCAAATTTACAGGCCGTGTTCCAAAGACTCACATCTGTGCCGAACAATATATAGGCTAAATATGCTGCAGGACCAGAGGGTAACAAGTTTAGGCATTTCCCACATTTTAGAGCTGGAAAGAATTTCTATTTCCCAACAGAATCCACCATTCTTTTTTCCCACCATTCTCAAGAGGGTGGAAAGTGAATCTTTTGCCAGTTCTAAAGATGTGACAAATGCCTGAACTTGTTTCATTCTAACTTGAGACCAGGAGACAATTAATTTGTATGGTGAATTTTCTCTACAGAATCTGTGGAGTAAACCATGTGTAGGAGGTCCCAAGTCTCAGATTCACCACCACTTGATGCTGCTCTTTCTCATAATTGTGAGTGGACTTGATGTTTTTGGGCCAAAAGGAGGAATCCTAACTAGCCTACTGAATTCCTGGCAAAGAAATGTTTTTAACTTGGCACTTTCTAGTTTGTAGACCAGCTGCTCTGCTGTAGAAGAGTTACAACCATATCGTATTTCATAGAACAAAAACTGAGATATTTTATCCCCCATTCAGAATTTTCTATTGGGCATCTCGTTAACCTTCTCTCTCAAATTTTTGACAATGCAGTAATGAAGTTTGAGCTGTTTTCTTGTGGACAGCATTCTTTCTCTGATTTCTAGAATTGGAATGGTAAGATCTTTTGTACAAGAAATCCATATATAATAATGCCTTTTCCCACTTAAGTGGAAAGGCAGGATTATGTACAAAAAAACAGCTCAGGATTGTCATTGTAAAATGGCATGCAGAATATTGGTAGTCCTCAATTTACAACAGCCTGTTTAGTGATTGTTCACTGAAAAAAGTGACTTACGGCCATTTTCACATTTATGACAGTTGCAGCATCAACATGGTCATATGATCAAAATTCAGACGCCGTAAGTCGAGGACTACGTGTATTTACTGCATCAAAATGAAAGCTTAAAAGGCTTCCCAAGTAAAGTAGGTCAAATTGATCCAAGCAACATTCTCATTTATTATTATATCATCTATTTAGCTATAAATTGAGGAAAGGTATATTTGTTCAGTTTATTTTACAAAAAAGTTTGTACAATTCTTCATTAACAGAAAGAAAAATGCTCAAGGTTTAAGAACATGAATGAAAAAAAAGCAAAACTTGACAGGTTCATTCACAAAGAGAACTTTGGTTACTTAGCTTGTAGATCATTTCGAATCCCTGTTGAATTCATGTGTTAAAAATAGATGGAGTTTTATTTGTTTTTAATTGGTTCCACTCTTAATCTTCTTAATTTGCAGTGGGTTTTTTTTTTTTGAAAGAATTAAACCATTTTTTAAAATAAATCTGAATGCAGGACCATCCTAATCTGGCCATCCTAGTTTCAGAGACAACTGGAAAAAACCTGAAACAATTATTATGGCATTGGTGAATTGGTCTTAAATATTAAAATAATGAACTGTACATGTGTATGCGTAGATATAGATATCCCTATCTTAAATACATTCCAAGGTACAAATATTCCCCACTTGCAAGGAACTAGCCAGAAAAACAGAGATAAAGACTTAATTAGGTCAATGTATTGTCAAAAACTATTTCCTCTGCAGATATACAGGTGATTTAATAATCTGTATACAGAGCCATGGCCATACTGAAAACCCTCACTAACTATGGCCCCATTCTGATATCCTTGCTCTAGAAAATAGAACAAAGCCATTAAATTCTTGTACAAGTATAGTATTTATATCTTTTTGACAAATTATTGATGGCACTAGTTGGATAAAATGAAAACATAGTGTTGCATAGCTGCTCCAATGTACTACTGCATATTCCTCATACTGTAACTTAAATTAGCCTGTACGTCCACTATAAAATAAATCTCTGCAGTCCAGTCCAAATACGTTCAGAATCTCACATGCACACTTACTTTATGAGAAGAAGGGTCACTTTAAAATTTAGGATAGTAGAATTGGTTGTACAGTGTTATTCATGTACTGAATAGAAAAACAAATTTCTTTCCGATACAAATCAAGTAATTACAAAGTGTTTTTTTGAACACACAGTGCTTTAATTACCCCATAGCTAATGTGTGTAGCAGCAATAACCGTGGGTCAGTTTGTTATGCAGAACACTTTGCACTCTCAATGTGGTTAGAAGCAATACCTCTGCAATTAATGTAGAGTTACAACATACTTTGGAAAGAAGGGGAACACTCTATTAATTGCCAGCATAGTTTTAGAGATTTTGTAAAATGCACAGAAGCTGAATGCTGCATCATTTCTCCTTCACGTGAAATTAATGCTGATCATTTTCTGTTGGCACAGTCTGCTCCTCATTTGGGCTATATTTATTCTTAAGGGATCTTCCAATATATCCCCAGTATTCTTTCCGTATAATGTCTTTTTCCTTAGCGAGGATTTCACACAACTACAAAAAAGAAAATAATAAGTTACTTATGTTTATATTCCCTTCAGTATGCACAGTGTTTTATGGACGGATGGATGGATGGATGGATGGAAGGAAGGAAGGAAGGAAGGAAGGAAGGAAGGAAGGAAGGAAGGAAGGCTTTATTGAGATCTTACAGTAAAGCAGGAGATGCTACTGTAAATTATACAGTAATTAAAATTTATATACTATAGATTATACAGTAAATTTAATAAGCAGGAGTAAAGGACAAAGCCAGTGAATTAGGTAACAGTATTCACTCTGAATTCTCCAATATTAAATACTTAACTGTCTTATTCCAGGCTCCTTTCAGTTTAGTCCCTGAAACTTCTTATAATGCTTATAATAATAATAAATTAAACCAGTTTAATTGATTTGTGACCAAAATAAAACATCTACAATGAAAAGGAAGACACAATGTTCTTTGAAATATAATTGGATCATTCTAGCATAATACCAATATTATGCTAGAAGATGGCAATTTTTAACTACATAACTAAAGTGAAAAGAGTTATTATAAATACTCATCATCTTATTTGGCAGTGCCACTATCAAAATCTGCATGCTATTTTATAATAGCATATCCAAATCAGCTACAGCTGCAATGAATATTTCCCCTCTGCATTCTATCTTTTAATCTATATTTACTTCCCTTCCATTTTCTTGTTCTCTATTATTTAGCTTATAAACACTTAAGTCAGGAATATGTTTTTTCAAAATGTTGATAGGACTGTTCAAATAAGTTTTGAGATTGAAAATATAATGATTTATCAAAGCTTTAAGCTTTTTAGAACACAGTATTTTCTTCAGATAATCTGATAAATTAGCCTGATTTTTAAATAAATTATAAGATCAGGCCTCTTAATCAACATTAAATGAAATACAGCTTTCTAACACAGCATCCAGTTGAAAGGCAATCTTTCTAATCCCATCACCTTTGAAATGTTGACAAGGTTGAAGCAAATGGCAATTATTTCTGATACCAGAAATTACTTTTAAAATGGAACTAAGTTGCTTCTTAAAGTGAAATAATATATGGGAAAGAAGCGCTTATACCCTGATATTTCTAAGGTCAAATAATTATTTTATTATACTTGACATAAAACGCCATGGTAACTGGCATGCATGAAATCAACAATAGTAAGAGTATAATACATTACATGAATGAGCATGTCATTTTCTTCATCCTTTTGAAAATACAGTTCTGAATAAATTATAGTTTGTGACTTAGCTTTCATTTTTAAAAAAGCATTTAAAAAGTCAACTGTATGTGTACTCAATGCACCAGTACTGATAATTTGAAGTCAGTTCTGAATATTTGTTTCTTTAACACCACCACTAGGCACACACACATAATGCACTCACAAACACACACAAGGAGCTTGCTATGATTTTGAGATCCCCCCAGAGATGTTGACTTCAATGGTCTTATCTCTCTATCCAGAAACGACCATGCTTGATGGAAATTATGGAGACTTATTGTAACTTCTCATTGTATGATTCAGTGGGCAAGGAACTTTGGATATAATGTAATGCTTGAACAATTGAGAGAATAATGTGGATGAAAGGTCTAAAACTTACATTAAATTATAATTTAAAAGAAAAATTTTATAAGATGATTATCGGTGTTTAACACCAGACAAGTTGTCAAGACTGTATAAAGGTATGTCAAATGAATGTTGGAAATGCAAATGCAAAGAAGGGACTTTTTATCATTTATGGTGGACATGTGATAAAGCAAAGAAATAATGGAATAGGATTCATATTCTAATGCAGAAGATTCTTAAAGTGAATATAAAGATAAAACCAGAGATTTGTCTTTTGGGTTTAATGGAAAAAGGTTTGGAAAAAAATTGGGGACTTTGATGGTTATATATGTTGACAGCAGCAAGGTTGTTTTATGCACAAAAATGGAAGGACACTTTGATTCCCACAATCGGTGAATGGCTGCAAAAGTTGATGGAGTTAGCAGAGATGGCTAAATTGACTGCTTTGATTAAAGACAAAAACACACCATTACTTTTGTTTCTACTTGGAAACCACTTTTGGACTTTGTGCTTGAGGTGGAAAAAAACAAAGCTTTCATTTTGGTCTGCCGATTATATAGGTTTGTCGGTACAGAAATGGTTAGTTTATATTATTATTATATAAAAGTAAAAAGTGGAGGTTTGATGCTATTATCTTATTCTACTGCACCAAAAAGAGTCGGAAGTCAACGGGGGTTTTTTTTCTTTTTTTCTCTTTGCCTTACACTTTTCCCATTTTCCTCCCTTATTTTCCCATTATTTTCTTTTGTATTTTATATTTGGATAAATTAATAAAATTTTGAACTGTAAAAAAAAAACATTTACTATAACTTCTGTTAAAGACTCCAGGCTGGGGAGAGCTACTATAAAGAACTTTAAGCTTTAAAGAACTAACCTCTAATGCTTTGTTGAGAGCGTCTTCCTTGTTTTCACACTGGTTTTCTAACATATCTTCATATATGTCCACCAAGAAGGCAATTAGATAAGGGGAATTATGACTTGGCTGCAATTCCAGTAGCTGTTCTAGCAGGTCTGGATATTTTGAAAGGCCACGATCTTGCAAAATCCTGAAACGAAAAAGTTTCATGAACATCATATTAAATTTCAATCACCTTGCCATTTTTTTTAAAAATGTAAACATTCTAGAAGCATAGAGATCCTAGCTCCAGTCTCATGTTCTGCTTGCTCATCTTAATAGCAGCAGAAGGAAGAACACAAGGATGAAATCAAGCAAGGAGGTATGTGGTGTTTTAATTAAAATTAAGCAGCTGTGCTTTTCCCTCATACTTCATTCAACTCTCAAAACATAAACCCTATCTTTCCTCATGGGCAGAACTTCTGCCCACTTGCTGCAATTTCTGAGGGATGCATTAAGTGATGAAATGTGATCTTTTAATGGAAGGACCATTAAATCCAGGGCCTAAAATTAGCCAGCTATATTACTGCAGTATTTTAAGCATTAAAAGAAGGTATACTACTCTACTCTGGCTATGGAAAGGATACAACCTACCCAATATAAAAAAGCTAAGCATTTTTAAAAAACCATGTTCTGTGCTGTTAGCTGATTTTTATTTATCATGCAATTTACATCCCAGCTTTATTCTGTACTCAAGGTGATGTACATAATGCTTTTCACCTATTTTCCCCAGAACAACTTCCCTATGCATTGGGTCAAGCTCAGAGAGAATGACTGGCCAAAAGTAACTTCCCTGCCTAAAGGAGGACTAGAATTCATGGTCTCCCACTTTCTAGATCAGCATCTTAACCACTACATTAAACTGCTACTATTTGCTTTGTAAGTTCCTTTTATTGGAACTGTTACCAGGACATTCTCTGAATAAATATACTGTACTTATAATTTTTCCTATGGAAAGCCCTTTTCATGCAGAACAGAGTCCTATGTATGGTTCCAGAAAATCCCAGGGAAGGAAACCCTATTTATTATAAAAAAATCAAATACTAAAATGACATTTTTGAACAGTTTCTTTCTGGATTTACTAGTCTTCAGAGAAATTTGCATCTCCTCTCACCATCAAAATACATTTTGTTTAGTGAAACAAAATAGTGACTTCTACGGCATCTGCTTGGCCACATACTTTCAAGCATTTTTTTTTCCGACCAAAAAAGTAAAAAAAACCCCCACTAACAACAATAATAAAGCAATAATATTCTTATGTGAATCCTGAGCCGGTACCAGACTCTACCCTTCTTTATGTGCATTAAATTTGTAATATACAACAGCATTAAACATGTAAGTAAAACTATCTCACCCTCTCAGGTAGTTCCAGGCACTTTCATTATGAGGTACCAGCTTGATCATTTCTAGGGTGTACCTGAAAAGGAAAAACAAACTAGATAAGGAAACTATGGAATAACCGTATATATGTCAAGGTAGCATATATCCTGAATGGCACACACAGACACATCAAGCTATTATTGAGTGAAACACTGATTTTGTTTATGGATGTTAGACATAAAATATTCTAAGTTTACAACAGCAATCCAGATAATTTTGCACATGCTTCAGGGAGTCTGTCATCTTGCAGTTACCTTAAAAAAAATCTCCAATTTATGGAGATTTGAAGATTGCTTTAGCCAATAGTAGGCACAATTCCATCCCTATATTGTCATTGGTTGGACATAGTTTAATATTTTTGAAACAATCTTCTTGGATAATTTTAATCCAGATAGTACTCAGCATAGATTACTGTATTATTAAAACACAAAAGGAAAAAAGGGGGTTATTTTAAATTCACCTAGTTCCTTATCATGGAAATGTTTTAAGGTTTATTCCACTAATGCAATAAATCCATGGGGCTGTTCTATTCCATACTTTGGACATTTTTTGTTTCAGAGTTACTCCTAATGATAGATACATTTACGAATCAAAGCATTTCCTATATAGTTAAAGGAGAGATAAACCATACATCAGGTAGATTTATATCACAAGGTACATAATGCCCAAAGTATTTCCAATTTTTTAAACAAAAACAAGTCCTTTTTACAATATGAAGTTTATGTTGCAAATTCCAGGTTCGCTGTCACATCATGCCATATTCTCCGTTTTTTTTTTCATTTCTTTGCAATTCCATGAGCTTATTTGGGCTCTTTTAGGAATACTTTCCAGGATAGGGATTTTATTAAAATATATTTTGTAGTTGTACAGTTCTGGATTACCTCTCTTTTGGGGATATGGTTATAGCAAGATGTAAAACTGAAGTGGCCATAATCCCAAATTAGAGTACACAGTGCTTAAGGTAGCGAAAGGATTCTAAAAGTCCACTGGGGATATACAAAATTCTCCATACAATACACTACATGTATACCTTGTATTCATGGTATAAGATAAAACCAACTAAAACGTTACATACTGAATTTCTCTTTCTAGAACAGCAGGATCATTGTAACCAGATGTGTTTGAAACCACAAAGTATCTTTGGTTCCAGGCGGAATTATTTCTGACATCTTCTTTCAAAAGTTGCTCAACATACTCCAATTCATCATCCCACAGCTTAAATTCCTAAAAATATAAAATTGAAGGAAACATTATCTCAAAAATTATCTCATTTCCATTAGTTCCTCTAACTGATACAATTATAGATTTAAGAGTTAGTGAACATGCATTCTCACATAGCAATTACAGAAATAACAATATGACCATCTTGATACCAGATCTGAGATGTCAAACCAAACAAACCATACACTAGATGTTAGGTATTTATTATATACCTTGTATACCATTTATAGGGGAAAGTATTATGGGTGTGCACTAACAACTTGATCTGTCTGAAGCATATTAATGCAATTATCAAAACACACAAAATCACTTCCTCAATCTTCTGTTATAAATGAGATAATGGGATTCAGACAGCATCCATAGATATCCCTTCACTTTCTCAGCAGATAAATGAACGACTGCCATTTGTTTCTTTTGGGGGGAAAAATAAAGCAAAACAAAAACCTCAACTTTTCCTTTCATACATTTCCTGCTCAGGATCACAATGAGCAATTGTTAATAAGAGCCACAGAAAAATACCTGAATGACCCATTGTCTATGTTGCCAAGCATGGTAATTCTTGGCATCCTGGTTAAGAATGCTTGCAATAAATTCGAGTTCTTGCGATGGGTCCTTCAACCACTCTACCAAAACTCGCCGGTGGTGCCTAAAATTCAAGAATGATACAGAATAGTTGTTAGTGTGTGTTTTCTAATTGTAATCTGGTTGCTTGGCAACCTGTTTGTACTTACAGCCATTTGCCCAGCCCGCCAATCATGTGATCACCATTTGCAGTCTTCTCTGCTAGCTTCCCCAGAAAGTCAATGGCAAAGCCAGCAGGGAATGTTGCAAGCTGCTACTGCCTGCCAAGAAGACTCTCTCTCACTTCTGGGGACTGGCTGAAAGAACTGGCAGACTGGCAGCGGGGGTGGGGGGTGTTTGGTTTTTATTTCTCCTGTCTGCTGGGTGGTTACAGCAGGTTTTGGTCACTTCACATGACCCTGGGACACTGTGACCGTCATAAATATGAATCAGTTGCCAAGCATCTGAATGTAAATCACAAGACCCTGGAGATGCTGCAACATTCCAGCTGATCGGCGCTTCTTCTGGGCTCAGCAGAAGCGCCAGGATCAGCACTGAGCTCCAGCTGGATCCTGGCACTGATCCTGGCGTTTCCACTGAGCCCTGACAGCCCCGAAGAAGCGCCGATCAGCTGGAAAGCGGCAATGATCCTGGGGCTTCCGCTGAGCCCTGACAGCCCTGCAGCTCCAGCCATCTCTCGCTCAAGCTTGTGCGGTGCTGCCACCGGTTCAGCTCATTCCCCTCCCCCGCTACCACTTTTCTTGGATGGTCTCGTACCACCTGCCAGGTGCCAATGTACCACAAGTGGTACCCGTACCACTGGTTGAAAAGCCCTGCCTTAACCATCACAACTGGGAGTGTGGAGATTGTGGTCATTGAATAAATCAATCATGTGACATCTTGCTTAACCACCACTTTGCTCAATGACTGAAATTTCATCCCAAATAAGGTGATAAATTGTAATCCCTTAGTTATGGTTGTGGAAATGCTCCTGCCAGAAAAGCAGCTAGGAGAGAGATTTGAATGAGATGCTAAGCCTGGTTATTTTAAAGCTTAAATAGGATTTGTATATTAGTGCAGGTTTTTTTCTTCCTCTCAGGACCCCTTCCCACTTTTAAAAGTTTTTGTCTGTATGAATTATATGTTGTGCTGATTCTCATGGTTGCTTGATGGGATTTTAATACTGTCTTATTTTTTAAACATAAGCTGGAAAACCAATTAGATTTTGCAATCTCTTGGGAGGATCCTGGGAGCCTAGGACCACACTTTAAGAAATGCTGTATTTGTGGGTTAGATAAACCCAGTTTATTTCAATAGTTTATGACCAAGTGTTCTGTGCCAATCCAGAAAATGATTTTATTCACTAACCAGGTTAACTGAATTGTGTGAATAAAGGGATTGTTAGCTCAGCAGAGATTGAGTTCCAATAACGTTTGGCAACGTGACTTGAATGCATCCACTAAAAATATGTTTTAATTGACACTAGAAGTAAGAAACTTTCCCTTGTAATAATAGCTTTACAACAGCTCGTTCACATGCCCAAACTATCATTGGATGCCTCAGAAATGCCTGCAAATATATGCCATACCCAGTAAAATTGCCTCTTGAGTTGATAATTATATGGCTAATAAAACCTGTTGCACAAGAAGTGTGGCAATGGTGCATAAGAGTGAACACCCAAGCATTTAAGAACACAAAGACAAGTTACCCAACAAAGCACAGCAGTAGAATCATTGAGTTGTTGCTATTGTGGATCCCCTGCTATATTTTTCTGCTTGGCAGATGAGTCTGTGCTTTGTTTAAATACCCTTGTTTTGCTCCAGCAGTAACTGAGATATATTATTTGCATCACATCGTTCGAGCACAATATACAAAGCATAGCCAACATAATAGCATCTTGCCATTGTTTATTTTTTTTCTCTTTCAAAAACCAAGACCACCCCATGGGAATCGATATCATCGCACCAACAAAATCTGCAGCTTAAAGAACTCTTACTATAACCATGCTGAAATTCTGCTTAACAGTCTCTGTGCAACAATTCTTCACTACGTATTCAGAGGGAAAAACACAAGGAATCAAACATTTCCATACATAGGAAATAACTTTTGTTATCAAAGAAGCTACACTTACCAGACTTGGTAATTCTTTGGCTGATCTTCAATGATAGCGGTGATGTAATTGAGTTCCTTATTTAAGTCTTTCTCCAAGGACTGAAGAAGTACCCTACGGAAATGCCTACACGAGGGGGAAAAAGGTAGGCATTCTTGACAATGAGTTCAGCTGCTTCCTCATATTACTCTCTCTTATTATTATTATTATTGCTTCTATTTATATCCCGCCCTTCTCCTTGCGGACTCAGGGCGGCTAACAACCAGATAAAAACTACAAAATACCAAAAACTACAGTTAAAACATGATTAAAAAACAAATATTAATAATTGGCCTAAGTAATTTAAAATTATTTTAAAACCCCCACTAAAAATTTCCCCTAGGCCAGTCCTGCAAGCTGAAATAA